CGACGCATATGCCACCGGTTTCCAGTACTGCCCCTCAGCTTGTAGAAGCACTGCTCCAATGCCGTTTTTTGATGCATCAGTGGACACTTTCAGTTTTTTGTTGTGGTCATAGTAAGCTAAAGCTGGCGCTATGGTGAGAGCTTGCTTAAGTCTTGGCCACTCTTGTTTGTGTTTTGTGGTCCATGCAAAATCACAGTCATTTTGTAAGAGCTCTCGGATGCAGGACGTCTAAGCTGTGAGGTTGGGAATAAATTTACCTATGAAACTGACCATTCCCATTATGCGTAACACACCTGTTTTGTCTGTTGGACTTGGCATGTTCAGTATCGCCTTTATCTTTTCTTGGTCCGGTTGGACACCTTGAGCTGTGAGTTTGTCTCCAAGTAACAGGATCTCTTGTACTGCAAACTCACACTTAGCTCTATTGAGTTTCAGTCCATACTTTTGTATGCGCTCCATCACTTTGAACAGTCTCTGGTTGTGCTCTTCGAGGGTTGAGTCCCATACTATAATGCCGTCGATGTAAACTCTGACTCCCTCTAAGCCTTCTATGATCTGTTCCATAGCCCTGTGGAATATTTCTGGTGCAGATTTGATCCCAAATGGTAGTCGAAGAAAACAATACCTCCCAAAAGGTGTATTAAAGGTACAGTACTTAGTGCTCCCAAAAGCCTTGTGAGGCATCTAGTTTTGTGAAATAATTCGCTCCTGCCATTTCACTGATAATTTCCTCTCGTGTGGGTATTTGATAGTACTCACGTTTGATGTTTTCATTTAGATCTTTCAGGTCCATGCATGTTCTTAACTCTCCATTCTTTTTCTTTGTGACCACCATGGAGCTGACCCAATCTGTAGGCTCCTGGACCTTTTTGATCACCCCCAGATTGGTCATCCTGTCAAATTCTTGTTTAAGGGCTTCACGCAGTGGAGCTGGGACCCTCCGTGGTGCATGCACAACTGGTTGGGCGCCTTCCTTTAGTTGGATTTTGTAGGTAAAGGGCAGTGTCCCAAATCCTTTAAACACATTAGAGAAGCTTTGCACAATAGCATTAGTGTCATATTTTGAGGCTGTTTCAATACAGTACACTCTTTTCACTAACCCTAGCTCTTCACAGCTCCTATCACCCAACAGTGATTCACATTTATCACTCACCACAGAAAAATGTACCGTGTATACTTTACC